GATTGATTTAAAAAGTTTAAAAAATATCTTATGCTATAAAAAAAATTATAAAATAAATTTAATCAAACTTATTTTGGATCCGATTAATTAACTTAATTAGATCACGGTTTATATATGGGTGTAGACCAAAATAAATGTATGTTTCATTTTATAAAAAAATAATTATTTTTTAAATTAAAATAAAAATAACATTATTTTATTATATATATATATATATATATATATATTATTATAAATTAATTTGATAAATATTTACTTATTTTAAGAATAGGAAATATAAGATTAAATATATGATTAAAATAAATTATTATTTTAAATTAATAAATTATTAAAAAATAATGATAATTGTTTCAATAAATTATAAATTAAGATAAGAAAATATTTATAAATTATTATTAATTTGAATAGATTAGATGATAATTTTTGTATATTTTAGAAACTAAAATATTTTTGTAAATTGTAACTATGACAGATAGGTGGTAGGCGAGTTGGGTAAAGTGTTGATACAGACACAAGAAAACGAAACCCTTGGGTATGAAATAATGCAGAAGGGAAAAAGGATACGAAATATTTTGAGATAAAATGTCATTTTCATTTCCAGAAGATATGAAGGCTATGTACACTCTACGCATGCACTTTGAAAAGGATCCATGCATGGAATTCACCTACATAATTCATTTTGTATCAATGAACCTCCTCACTTCACTTGGAAACAAATATATATTCCCACTCACATCATCAATATATTTTAAAAGCTAGCATTAGCTTAATAAAATATGTTTGCCAAATTATTCTAATCTTTATATATCCTACACTTTTTCTTTTTTTTCCTTTCTACGGTAAAACAAATTCTCACGAGAAAGGAAGACAAAAAAGACTTGCCTTTAACCTCAAACACAACTTCATATACAATATGAAAAGAAATGGGTCCTAGTTATAAGGTGAAATGTGTAACCTTATAATATGATAACCAAGAACAAATACATTACCTTGTTAACGTATATATATATATATATATTATATTACAATGTCGTAATTATAAATTATTTAAAATATTATTATAAAAATCAACAATTTTATCAGATTGATTACAGACACTATTTAATGAATAAATTTTTATTAGATTTGTCATTTATATAATGACAATATTGTAGACGAGATCACTGCAAAACCATCACCGTATTAAACGAGATTGGACTTTGGTTGTAAAATGCAACAAAATTTTTGAATAGATATAATGAATTGGACTTCACATATGATTATGATAACCGGTCCCAAACAGAAAAACATGATTATTTGGAGTGACTGTTGAATCTAGAGGGGAATCTTTTATGTTTAAAAAAAATCGCTGATGTTTGTGATCCAGAGAAGAGAAAGGGTAAGAAGAAAGTAACTCACATGGATGCAGGTAAACGGTGTCGAGCTTCAACGGAATGAGGAGAAGTACCCATTGTTCCTCTCATATCAACTATTCACCTACAGGGGCATGCAACATCTGATTATTATTCTCACCTGCACAAACCAATAAGCTACACGATGAATTAATCTTAACAAATCAAACGGTTCAATAAACTAAAACCCTAAATCTAAACAAATTGTGGTGTTTATCATCTTGAAGTTGCTAACATCTACACATGTTTATCTGAATGTACACAAGAATCAGAGTTATATACCAAAATTAACGTAGGAATCGATCGAGAAGAAAAGCAATGTTGTTATTATTTGTGAAGGAGAAGAAGAAGAAGAAGAAGAAGAAGAAGAAGAGAGAGAAGGGAATGGAAGAAGCAGAAAGAGTTGATTGATGGCATTGTTGAGGGGTTGATTGAATATAGAAGGTGTGAGGCAGTGACGTCCTTCAGAATTTTTCCTTCATCTTTCAGTTTCATTCACTATTCTGGTGGTACTCACCAACTCTTGCATCTATCTACTTCTTTGCTTTTATTATTACTCCTCATTTCCCACCTTTTTTTTTATTATTCTCCAGTTTCATTGGAGGAGATAATACTCCTACTTCATTAATTTATAATTAATAATTTACACTTACACTAAACACTTCTATTCATACAAGATGCAAAAATCCTAGCTAGTGTCCCAGTACAAAAACACGTTTGCTGATAAGATCGTGCTTTAATAAGTTTTTTTTATACATATAAGATTTGAAGAAGAAAAATAAAATAATTTTTTCCATATAAACTAAAATTAGTTTATATAAAATTTAACACAAAAAATAATATCAAGAAATGGGGTATTCAATTTAATGTTGACATAATATCAACTGTTTTTTTTTAATAAGCTATCAAGTATTAATTTCTAGTTATTTATAAAAAAGAAAACTATTATTTTCTAGTTGACGAGGCACTATAATACAAAGGAGACATGCAACTGTAGCACTTGATTGACAATGGAAGTAAAAAGTTAGCATGGCGTGAATGAGATTTTTGTTGTTTTAACTCCTTTTGAGTACAAAAAGCAATTAATTTTCTCAAAATTATTCACACTTTTGAAATTTATGGCTATTTCCAAATGAAAAGGAGAGTAGGTTTATTATTGCATATTAATCTTTGGAATTATGAAACCTTGTATAGATTAATTGGTAGATGGTTTAGTCGGAATTGTGTTATTAAAAGCATTTTTTGAAAGGAGGACAGGATAAAAATGGTCGCTTTAGGGAGAGTTGTTGCTACTTGATTGATGGGGATGATTAGGTTAATGAAAACAATTGTTCATTGGATTTAGAGTAAAGGTGACCACATGTCGCAATCCCAGGTCGAATAGGAAAACCTAATATTCCTACTTTCTACCAATATCGGGAAATGCCTTTAACCAAGGAAGATTGTTAATCAGCACTTTTACTTTTATGTCCTTCCCTGTCATACATGGTTAGGGTTTGCATTCCCTCCCTAATTTTCTTATTTTAGAGAAATACCTTAGCTAAATGCATATCCATAGTAGGTAAACATTCTTATCGTAATTAAATTTGTCTCTTAATGTTTCATGGTAATGAAGTTCGTCTGCATTTGAAGAAATGGGGTGGCAACATCAAACACCTAATCAGCTGCCAGTACAACAACACATAACACGAGTTTATTGTTGTTAATCTCTTTCCATGGACTATTTCACCAAACCCATGGTCTTGGCACTAGAAAAATTCGTCAAAACGGCAATGAAAAGGCCTCCTATTAATTGCACCAGTTGACCTCCCATGTTCTCTCCTGCCTCAAGGATTTGTGTTTACATTTACCGGTCTTAATCTTTGCACTCAAGACATACACTTTTTGTGAACAATTTTCATTTTCTTACATCCTTGGCTTTTGTTTGTAAATTGACAGACAGTCAACTTTTAACTATTACACACCAAAAAATACCCTATTCTTTACATAGAATTGGCAGAGTTTGCTTAACCTCCAAATTTGAAACTACTACTTCTATATATTATTATATAACTTGTTTCTTGTAAAAGAAAACCACAAGAGAATATTAGTGAAGCACTTCATCCTGATTGAATGTTGTTGATAAATTTTGATAGCACCACCCATTTGGGGAAAACAATTCAAACTACATGGTCAAGCTCAAGGAAGAACAGGTGGCAGAGTTATAACCGAAGAAGGCTTGTATCTTAATAATCGGGGAAGACTTGGTGTAGTAATAAAGAAGCCTTGCACCCATCGCTACGTATGCCTGCTATTCCTATCCATGCATTACAATTATATTGAGCCATTGACGGATGTAGATTCTTTATAATCCACACTGAGACGGTGTGAGATAAGGAAAATGGAGACGTGAGGCAGTACGTATACTGTATTGCAAGCAAAGCAATAAAGAACTCAACGGTAAAGCTAATAATCTTGCACGCTTATGGATCATGACAACAAGAATCAGATTTTGTGCATCCTAGTTCTATTCATTTGCTTTCCGCTGCTCTTGTTGAGTGTTGGCATCTTCGGCAGGGACCACTTTATAGACTTGGGCCTCTTCACTACTTGCCCATTAGAAAGAATTGGAAGTTTTTATTCCACAAAAGAGAGGAAAAAAAGGAAGAAGATGCAGGTTATCCCATAATTATGCGAGTGGGCACGAGAATGACAGGGCTGTCCATTCCCTCTGAACCTAAAATACTATATATGTACTTACAAAGCTAAGTTTGGTGTTCTAACATCAACCTCGTTACAGTATAATAAGAACTACCTTTACTGTTGTACAAAATAATAGGGACTGATTATATAACTACGATGTGCGTATTCTATGGCCTGGGCACAAAAATAAAGGTTCCATCGTTCAAAAGTAGTAAGAGCCTTGTTTACACCCTTCAAAAAGTGTGATGTTATTGGTTTCCAATTAATGCTTATCTTCGTGTTCCTGAGTATGCAAGCTACTCTTTTTTCCTATTTGACAAGCGTTGCTCGAAACTGCATCCAGGCGTACACGTTGCCATGCAGGGCAGTTTGGATTTAATGGAAATCACATAAGCAAAGAGCACCACGTCTGCTGTAGGATTTTCAACTGCCAAACGTAACAATTCAACTATTCAGATGTACAACACATTCGGAATGCACTTGCAATGATCCTCTTCAAATTAAGGAGAAAGGGGTCACGAGGTTGCGTAATAAGTTATTGATTTAGGCTCAAGATACCGAATTGGGGAGGGGGATCAGAATTTTCACAAGGACAAGTCGATTCAATAAACCTTTTCCCTTTGTAAGGCAGAATAAAACGTCAGTCTTTCTAGGATTACAACAACAATAAAGCTATCAAGTTTCAACTAAACAAGAAATATGCAAACCTCGGAGAGAAAAATGTGTTCGGAGATTTTCCTTTTCTTTGTCAATTACAGATTCAGTTGAATTATTTTTACATAGCAATGACGATTCTCCTCTAGTAGTAGGAGAATAGTTTTTTTTTTTTTTCAAACCATGTAAATATAGATTAAATAAGCAAGACCAAAACTCAGATATCTCACGCTATGGGGGAAAAACATAGTATCATCATTACTTTCGACAGAATCACAAATCAGATCCAGATTTTTCCTCTTTAGGAGGTGCAAATTGCCTGCTGAGACGAGAACGTGTCCAGGGATCAAGGGGTGCTCTCTGTGGTGGCTGAGGAGTTGGTGGCCTTGCCTGCCTAAGCTCATTTTCTCTATCAATAAACCTGTTTCAAAGCATATAATCTTTTAATATGAAGTTTCAATTTCAACCTCCCCATACTAGAGCAAGTTGAAAGGTTTGAAATAAAACAGCACAATATGGCAGACAGGCAGAATCAAGAACAATGAAAAAATAATCACTTCTTTACTGAAATCAAGTGGGGTTACCCAAATAAACCTAAAAATAAGTCTAAAACTAGATTATCAAAAGGTACTTAGCAATGTTCTCACTCAATATAGGCCATTGGCGCAGCATCACCCACTCGAATTCGGGTCCGAAGCAATCTCGTGTATCCTCCAGCTCTATCCCTGAACAACATAATCTCCGGCCAGTGTTACAACTAACTACCATAAATGACAACTGAAACTGAATCAGGTTTATTACTTACTTGTACCGATAAGCCAGTTCTGTAAACAGCTTGTGAAGTACATCATCTCCTCGCACAAAACTAGCAGCACGCCTTGCAGCACATTGGGATCCCTAAAACAATTTATAATATAAACTAAGGCCAATCTCAGCAATCAAGCTAAATGAAAAAAACAAAATGATTAGAGACAAAAAGTTTATTCTCAAGGCCAAGGTGAAAAAGTTTGTTAATATTTATCTGTTTCTAGTAAACTGTATACTGACAAGCATATTGACACTACCAATGAGCCTTGTAGAATATGGCAGAGGAAAAAGGTGGTGATAAACAAAAGGCCTTGTAGAAAGTAAATAACAAGGTAAAATAGTTCATGGGAAAATCTCACATAGGAAAGTGAATAACTTCTCCGGCCATGGGCAAACTACTTATTGACAATACATTAATTAAATCATTCATTAGTCAGGATTGATGATCAGGAAACTGTTGTAAAGGTCTTATGTAGAAGTTTTTATTAGGTTCTCTTCTCTACAAATTCTAATTTAAAACTACTTTTGGTAAAGTATACAATTTCTAATAATCCGGTGCAATGTAGTATGGTTTTTCCTCACCTTAATTTATATGAGGCTTGCAAATGAAGAATTATCAGTCACATGCAGTTGCCAATTCTTATGCATTATAATCTAAGTACCATTCACGCAGTGTAAACCATGGAGATAGGAAAAGTATTAAAAGAATCCTCAGAAACTTCAAGCAGGAGTTAGTTGCAGCAGCAGTACCATTGGGTTTGCCTTCCATTGTTAATTCCACACATTGCTTCTACACTTTTTATGTTTCCAGTAATTATATTTCTCCTTCTATGGATCAAAGTATACATAGGGATAAAAAATGGATACAGAAGCTGGAAGTCCTTGCTTAGGATAAGTTTCATAAGTCGAATTAAGCTCATTTATAGGAGTAAGCTAGAAATTATCTTAAATAAGAATTCCAATGTTATAAATAATTTATGTGTTGTTCTCAGACTACTTATTCAAAACTAATTATCATCTCATAGACCTATGAAAAATAAAGTAAAATGCAGAAAATAGAGGAACACTCACGCTTCATTCTGCTGCATTTCAAGTAATTCAAATTTTACAGAAATAACACTTCCCATAAAAAAACACAGACTTTCAAACAGTTAAAAAAATCCAGCGATGCTGAGGCATGTCATTGCTACCTGAGAAATCATGAAACGCTATAAATTTGTCTTTAGGAGAAGAAATCGTGAAACAAAGGAGATGATAGTGAAAAAGTTACAAAGGCATGAAGAAACTGTGAACCAGGAGCTGCAGTTTGTTCATTCGTTGTTTATTAATGATATTCACAACCATTAGCAAATATGTTGGATATGTACCTCGTGTTCCGGAATTTCAGTTTGCAATGATCAATTTTCTGGGGTGAATATATAAATTTCAATAGCTGAATCTAACCTCAAATAGCCAGGAATGTCAGTTTCCATTGGTAGGGACGGTTAACACATCCCCACCTTAGAATGATCATAGTTCATATAAAGAACAGAGAACATGATAATGTCTTTCATATAAATTAATTCATCATATAGGGGCAAATTCATTTCACAGTACACAATAAAAAGTTGAATAAAATCAAATGTATAAGTACTAAAGGGAAAGGAAACACAAATGAGGATTCCCTCCCCCAAACCCCAACTTGCCATATGCCCTAATTGAGGTGGAAAAACTACAGAACACTGAATTGAAGGGGGGAAAAAGGTGCAAAAAAGAAAAGGAAAAAAAAAAAAAAACTGATAAAGATTTTACCTGCCCTAAAAATTAAAAAGCCAATGAGTATGTTTAAAAAATAAATATTCTCATCTGTTGCTACAAAATAAATGGCTGCAACAATGGCAAGTGGAAACCATACTAACACATCAACAGTTGTCACTAACAAATACAGAGCTCCAATGAATTTCGAAATGCATACTGAAGTAAAAGCGCCAACTACAAATTGAACAAACAAAAGGTAATCGTATTTCCAAATTGCACGCATCAACCAACCCCTTAATAGATTCCTCCCTGTTTTAAAAGTCAAGTTTGAACACACAACCCAACCAAAAGCTACACAAACGGTTAAGCTTACACTGCAAATGAATTGAAACGGATCCAAAATGAATAGAATTAGAGCGATAAAGAATCGCATACGAACCTCCTTTCCAAGCTGAACCATATTATCCGCGAGTCTTCTGATCTCTTTGGCCTAAGCGCAACCAAATTACAAAACGTGATTACATGAAATAAAATGTGAAATTGAGAAAGTGGTAGACGACGTCGTTTGAACTGGTACCTTGGCGACAGTAGTTTCGATACGCTCGTGCTTCACCAACTGAGAAACCATGGTTCTAGATAAATGGGAAGTCACCGAGGATTCAGCATCTTTGCAAACCAATGAATCAAAAAAGGAACTGAATTGAAAAACAAACTAATTAACCTGAGCATGGACATTCGGTGACCGGTGGGTCGACCCAGCTTCCTGAACTTCGTCATTTTCACAGAAACACGAAAACCCTAACAATAGTAGGTTTGTCGCAGTGCACTCTCTACACCCGGTAGAACCGCCTCACAGACCAGGGTTCAGCTTCAGTTACGAGCTGTGGACCAAAATTGTGTTTTGAGGAGAGTGTGTATAACGTTTATTATTTCAGTAGGTATTCTAGTCTCCACTAAAATAAAAATCTTTATTTTATAAATTAAAATTTATAATAAATATTATAACTGGTACTAAATATTTTGAAATGGAAAATAATTTGGTAAATATTATATTATAATATAAGACTATCTTAAGTATTGATGTTTCTTTTAATAAATATTAATTTTTAATTTAAAAATAAAAATGAAAATACTAGAATGAAATGTCCAAGTGATTAAGAAAAATATCTAAAAAAATCTTCAAATGATATTCAAGATAATTATTCTAATATATATACACTTATATGAAAGCATTTATAAAATTGTAAATCTGAGTTTAAACTTTTCTATAATAGATTTTTTTTTAATATAAATGATATTTTTATTTTGAAATGTGAAATAATAAAATAATCTACCTATTTCATAATAATAGTATAAAAAAGAAGTGATTTATAATGTATAAAGTTGTTAAAAATAATTTTTGAATAAATAAAAAATACTTTAAAGGTTGATATAGTCCATATATATATATATATATATATATATATATATATATATATATATATATATATATATATATATATATATATATATATATATATCATTTACTTATTTTTGATGATGTTAATTGAGAGAATACGTTGGAAGTATATTAAATTAAATACTGATAAAAAAAATATACTAACTGTGAAAATAATTTATATGTATTTATCAAATTCATATTATAAAGAAAATAATAACATACACATTGCACAAATAAAAGTAAAAGTAAACGAGCTTAATAATATTCTTTTAAAAAATTAAAATCACATAGAATAATTATTTTTCAATTATAAAAAATTAATATGAAAATTTAAATATTATAAATTACTATTTTTTAATGATAAATTATTAAAGTAGATAAATATATTAAATTTAATTTAATATTAAGACATGGCAGAAGTACTGGGTGGGGTTGGTTTTGGTTTTGACTTCGGACTCCATTAAACTTTTTTAACCGGTCGATCACCGTTCTCAATTTTATCATATTAAAAATTAAGTCTTTATTGTATTTTTATTGGGTTTATTTAAAAAAATAATTTTATAAAGATATAAAATACTTATATTATTATTATTATTATTATTATTATTCAAATATTAGATTCTATATATAAATTAATTATTTTTTAAGTTATTATTTTAAAATATTAATAAATATAAAATATAGTTTATAAATAAATATTTAATAAATCAATTCTTATTTAATTAATTGAAATTAATAAAATTTTTAATTATCAATTTTTTTAATTATTTAAAATATAATTATTTTATTAAAATTAATTTAGTATATGATAAATAAAAATAATAAAATTTAAAAAATATAACATAATAAAACTTAATAAAGATAATTAAAAATAATATAAGTAACTGAAGAATATTTAGAAAAGAATTAAAAAATGATTTTATATTTATCAAAGAGATTGAAAAAATTAAATTGATTAAAAATACTAAGAAAATGTGAAGAGTGAGACTTAAGAAAAAAATATAATGTGATGAATTGATTGAAAAAGAAAAAAAAGTAAAATGTGGAGAAAAGAAGAATAAAGAAGTTGATATATACAAAATAATTATGAGATAGAAAATAAAATATTTCAAAAAAATTAATATTTTAGGATTTAAATATAAAGTCGTGACAAAAATGAAAATAAGATCAATGTAAATATTACATTGTCATCTTCACCTCATTCCTTTTTTAAATTTTTAAAACAAAAAAACTTAAATGTATCTTAGCTGATTTGATTTTTCTTCGTCAAACTTAGAATAAAAAAATATCATGCTCATAAATGGAATTTAGAATTTAGTTCACTTCCCTAATTATACTTTCATTTCAATAATCAATCTCATGTTAAAAGAAAATTATAAATAAAATTTCTCTCAATTTATTTATTAAAGTAAACTTATTTATTATGTCACATTTAGTCATTCTTTTATTTATTTCTTTTCTTTATCCTCATCTTTTCTTTTTTCTTTTTTTCCTTTTCCCTTTTTCTTTTTTCTTTTCACTCCTCTCACACTCTTTACTAAAAATACTAAATAAAAATTTAATACAATATGTTAAAGTAAACTTTTTAAAATAAATACCAAAACTAAAAAATATTTAACTACTAAGTTTTTTCTTGAGCAAAAGTATATCCGAGAGGAGTCATTTTATCTTCTACATATTTCCTTTAAGTGAAATATATATAGATAATAAATTGGCATAACTCATCTTAAACTACATTTTAGACTCAAACATGTGAGACTTTATTACTCAATTTCCTTTTAAAATATGTCATACTTAATCTAATTATAACTATAATATCCTAACATTTTATACGCATCATTGCTCTAAGTCAACTCATTCAATTACAATTTAAGATAGAACACAACAAATCAAATTTCTACAATTAAAGAATGTGACAAAGTCATCTTCACAATTCAGATCATCTATCTTAGGGTATTAAAAAATTTACTACTAACTATTTTCTATACTTTTCGATTTCAGTTCTCTCAAACTTGAAAGTTCCAAATCCATGATTACGTAGGGAGTCGATTTTACTCGAGAGAAAATCTCAATTAACAAATTAAACATATCACAATGTTTTTAAAATAGTTAAGATTTATTTTACCTCATCAAAGTCACATGCAAGACTCAAAGACCCACATGTAAAATCTTAGGTCCAAATTTGTAAAATTTCTCTAAAATTGGAAAAAGAATAACTTATTTTATTTAAGATTATGATCAAATGAAAATATTCCTAATAAAATTTTAGAAAGGAAATTTAGAATTTAGAAAGATAGTGATTCTCTAGCAAGTTTAAATTATAAAAAAACAAAAGTTATATTTAAACTATTTTTATCTAAAAATAAATACTCAAAGTTTAACTATGTTTTTCTTTAAACTATTACAGTTAAGACTTTAATTTTATTATAAAATTTAAATTAAATGGACAAATTTATGATAGACAAACATTTGTAACCCAAAAATTGTACTAAATTCCTTCATGCTATATCATATTCATATACTATTTGTTGTTCCCCTTTTATATATATATATATATATATATATATATATATATATATATATATATATATATATATATATATATTATATTTATTTACATAAAATTTGGGAGAAGGAACCGTGTTCATGTGGAAGCTACTCCACGTGAATTAAAGTGGTATTAAACTTACATATTTTAATCAAAGTGTAAGTTCAAACTTTGTGTTATGGACAGAAGTTTGTTAAAAGTGATTATTAGAGTTTTTCTTTTAACAAAATTTAGTTTTAAATAAAGTTAATGGATATTATGTTAATCCAATAATACGTCTCAAATTTTTATGTAACTTATACCGTTAGAATGACCTACATGAAATTAAGAACATTACCCTCTTAACAATTTTGTTCATTAAAATAGTTCATAAGTGTTAATTTAGCTAACTCATATTTGATCACTGACATCATATGAGAAAAAAAACACACACACAAAATATCCAAAAAAGTTATGGATCAAGTCCATCAATTTATTAAATTTTTTTTTTAAGTAAAAAAAAAAGTTTTCAAAATGAGAGTTACAAAAATACTTACTTTAAAAATTTGTATAGACATGAAAAAATCACAAAAAGAAAAACTTATATAAAAAAATAAAAAATAAAAGCCTTAGACCTAAACATTAACTTCATATTCACATTTTCCTATAATGATCAACAACAAATTCAAATTGACTATAAACTTTTATATTTGAAAAGTACATTATCTACCTTTACTAAAAGCTTTTATGATGTTAATAAAAATACTACATGCATATTTAATAAATAATATATTATTTAAATAACTTGTATTTATTAAAATAATCGAATTATACATCTTTTAAAAATATTTATCCTTATTTATGTCAATTTTTACTTCAATAAACAAATAATATTCAATTTCACCTTTTTATTTATATTTTTTCAAATTTTTTTCTTTCCCTATTTTTTCTTTATTTTTTAGTTAATTTTTTTTGTAAAGATAAAGAAAATTTTGAATTATCTTATGTCACTTCTAAAAAATTTCTTGATGAAAAATGACCTTATTGAATAATAATTTTATTTTATTATTGAATTTTTATAAAAAAAATAAAAATCAAATCAAATTAAAATATAATATAATATAATATTATCGTAAATGAAATAAAAAAATTGTAACCACTATTTCTTTTATGAAAAAAAAAAGAAATTAAAGTTTTTTTAAAATAAATATAAATTTATTTGATAATTTAATGTTATTATGTACTAAAGGAAATAAATAAAAATAAGTAAAAAATATGTTATGAGTATTTTATTAAAATAAATAAACAAGAGATAAAAATAGATAAACAATAATATTATTTTTTTTATTTTTTTAATAATTAAACAATAATATTATAAACAAATGTTTGTAGTTTCCATTTGCACATTCCTACAGCATTATGAATGTTTGTGATTTGTTAAACTCAATTTCATTCTAACGTTAACCTATTTTATATTGGAATTGATTATTTTTTTTTTTTTCAAACCACTTATTAGTATGATGGGCCGGTAAAAGAGAAATTAGTTTAGACCACAAAAAAGAAAGAAAAAACAATAGGGAATATGCCATAGTTGTTTTCAAAACAAAAATACTTCAAGCATACACAAATTAGATACCTTATAAACGATTTGCAAATATAACAGCAACATACGAATATATGAGGAAGAGATATTTAAAACGAAGCAAGCTTAGAAAAAAAAAAGTTATAGTTTAAAATCAAGTTTAGCACACTCAAGCTTTTATGTGAGGGACATTTACATCTCTATATTAAAACAAAAAATTGGATGCAAAGACCTAACAAGGGATAAACATATGTTCCACATCAAAAATTATAATAAACATTATTCTCAACGAATAATTTTAAAATTCCTAATTAAAAGTCCTTGTAAACATCAAATCTAAAATTGGTGGTAAAGTTAAAGAAATATGCATGCTCTCTAGCTCTTGTATAAATCATGTGGTATCCTCAAAATAAAGGAGATCATACAAATACAAAAATTATAATTTTCTAAATGTATCTACATGTTCAGCAGACTCTAAGATAAGGTACAACAAAGACTTCAATGCAGTATATCAATTAGGGAATTTTCTTCATGAATTTCACTGGAAAAATCAAAACGTCTGCATAAGAATACTCATCCATCTGATAAGATGTACTGTTTCAAAGTAAAAACTGATAATAATTTAAATTACTGGAAATTGTACTGAAGAAAAAAATGTGTATATCTCATTTTCTGAGATATAACCTAAGTAAACAAAGTTTGCCTAAGGTCCTCTATTCATCTCTAAGCCGCATAATTGGACAGCTCTACAGCATAAATTACAACAAATTTCCTATAACCATAACTTAAAAAGAAATTTGTTGAATCTGCACCAGCAATTAGTTGAAATTTTTAAGAATATAAATAAAATCCTTTGCCGAGGATCTAAAATTGCATCCCAATTATACCTTATAGTAGTATTTTGTCTTTTTAGACATTTATGTCTTTCACTCAGACAAAATTATGAGTAGGGTATTGATACTCATAACCATTATAATCATAATAAAGCCTTTCTCCCTTAGAAATATCACGAGTAGCAACCAAAAAGACCCTGCATTCACCATCGACGTTGTATCTCACACATTTGCAGTTTTGCTTTTTCCTACCTTCCCTGCATCAAAATGGGATAAGTGTTTAAATATAGGAAATTGAAGATATCAAATAAAGAAAGTAAGGTTTGAATCTCAAAATCTCCAACTCTTTAAAAAGCATTCAAAAGCCAAACAAATAATAAATTGGAGTGCGTAAACATGAAAGAAGGACTCATAAGTTAAATGATCCTTTATACTCTTGCTCTAAATTCCTTTTATTGAAGACTTGGTGATATAAACAAGACAGCTTACTGTGTATGATTGTTTATGCCACTGATAAAGCGAGCGATGTTTCCACGTTTATCAGCACAGATAACAAGAGTTTGAGAACTTTCTCTTCCAAGAAGAAGGGTCATCATGCTGTCACAATCATCACGTTCCCGGTGGTAAAGGTAATCCACATCACCAGCGTATTCAGCAACAACTGTCATATCCTTGATTAGGTCATCAGCCTCAACAGTATAGCTACGACACAGAATCATGAAAAGTTATTAAGATATCACATGTTGATTTCCTATTTCATGTTGATCAGTTCAGGATGGTTACCCTTGACGCGTATCATAAACAACCATAAAGGGAGGAAATTCGCCTCGTTTAGACATGGCAATGCAGTGTTCTACGGTTTCCATGTCTTCCTTGGAAAGAATCTAATAAGAAACAATAAAAAACATTCTATCAAACAAAATACACATCAATGGAGATTTACATGCTTAATTAATAGCTTGTTTAATGCAGGTCCATTTCTAGGAGTAAAAAATCTATAAGAAAATTTATCAGTTGAAACCTGCATGTCACCGTTTTCCAGGGCCGCTCGATTAGCAGATCTAGGAGCCATTCCAGGCAAGTATGTGAGTTGATCACAGAATTCCATATTTAATGCTGTTAAGGCAGAAGCAAGAGAACCCATCTGTTTTAATCTCTGGGTTGGATCTTTTGTAGGAACATATGGTAACAATCTCCTTTTTTTCTTATGTAACACCAGAGGTCTTGAACGTTTCCGACGCTTCTTGGCATCTAGAAGTTCAAAACAATAAATCAATAAAAAAAAGTTCCAGTCAAATATCATATGTTTAGGATTATATATACATTCCACAAAGGTAAGGTATAAGAATACTAAAGATTACCCTATACAAATCACCTAAATATAAAGAATATTCTCATAAGATTAAGATAAGAAAAAGTATCTAAAGGTAGACATTTTTTTGCTTCCTTTGCCAATAAACAGTTCATATGAAGATTCATGGTACATTCATCCAGTGTGAAGTAAAAACAAACATGAACTAGGAAGTATTTGTCAGTCTAGGAAAACAAAAACATACAAGAATATATTCATAAAAAAATTGAAAGAACAAATATGCAAATTAACATGCATCATTTATTCTATAACCTCCATTACTTTTAATGAAGAGCCCATGTAAATAGAGTGTACAAAACATTTTTTCAAGACAAAATTTTTCTAGTTTCCATGATAAGTTATTGTAGAAACCTCGTCTGTTACTAAATGATATATTGTTTTCAAATCAATATAAATGTCAAATTTTCTTTTCTACTTCCATAATCGACATATAAATCATGACTTCAGCATCCATTTCATTGTTCTTGTTCCTAGGGAATATTATCTTGACCGTTAGTATGTATATCATCAAGAATTGTTTACAGCCTTTTGTTGTATCTATTCCAAACATCATTGTAGTTTTACTTCTCTATTGGGACTCAAGTTAACCATTCAGGTAATATGCTGCAAGAGAATCATATTATGACAGTGATTAAGAAAACATCAATTTCATACACTGAAATTTGGCCTATCTGCTTCTAATTTTGTTCAGTGTTACCTGCAATTTTAAATAAACATTAGGAGGTTCAGATAACTTTTGAATTTAATGAGGGTTATCAGTTCATTCTCATACAATACCATGTGAATTTACACTTTACAGTTATTCATGACAGAAATCAAAGGCCTAATATTCTTCTCTACAGGCATAAAGGCATAATTTCAAATGAAGATTATCATTTCTACTTTTAAAAACCCCATGAAAAAAGAAGATTACAATAATTACTGCTAAACCTTTAGACATTTGATTGACCTCTTTTGCCTCCAAAAATAGGTTTCAGATAGACATTGCATGAGGCAGATTACACCAAAATCTGCAATCCCACAAAATAGGAATCTTTTCATCCTTCACCTTTAACTTTCATATTCCGATTCCAAAGAAAACAAAATACGCTTTTTATTCAATATCATATTTCTTCAATTCAATCTTAATGTCAGGATCATGAAAAGGAAAGGCATATAATGAGGAATACAACAAAAAACTTTAATAGCTATCTGTTCATTAAACAAACAACCATAATAATTGCCGGCAGCATCCATTTGTCTATTTATGATATTGTCATAAGCTCCGTAAATCCAATTAAACCATCCATTTGGTTATATTTATCAATAAACACCAAAATCGAAAGAAAATCAAGCTAATAGTTTCCAAAACTAAAGATCAGTACTCCCATATCCTACATAATTCAAAAAGAAACACTCTACAACTATGAATGCCGAATGTAAATAGAAAACACTCTTTACTTGGTCTGTTGTGTCTCTAAATGAGAGTAAACAAAATGTATCAAACAAACATGTCTGAAATTAATCATTACCCTGAGAAGAACGCTTGTCGTTAGCATCAAAAGAACTCCTTCGAATCCCGAAGAAATCAATTATCCTCTTCTGCGAGAAAGCTAAAAACACACAAACAAAAAACGGCATTCACAAACCAAAACGGTTAAAGAAGACACAACAGAAAGAAACACGTGAAGAGAAGCAAAAGAATCCCTTACTCCGGACTCTCTTCCCTCCCTGGCACTGAGGACAAAGCCACGATCCAATCGGAATCCTAACGACAATCGGCCTCACACATTTCATGTGGAAGCCTCTGTCGCATTTGTCGCAGAGAAGCAGCTCCTCCGACAGCTCTCCGGAGCCACATTGCTCGCACAACAGGTCACTGTAAGTCTCTTTCTCCACCACCGCATACCGAGCGCGCGCCATTATGTCCGACATCATCCGGTACTTCTTAGCCGGCGGCGAGTCGTCGTGGAGCTGGCGACGCGAGTCCTGAAGCTGGCACGGCGCCTGCGTGCGGCGGCTGAAGCCTACATGCCTCTGAGCGGAAGGCGAAGAGGTGGCTGGAGCCATGGCGGATTGGAAAATTGGCGAAACAGAAAGTGCAGAATTGGAATTTATATTTTCGAGGAAACGGTTTTCCTGAGTTGGAGAGGGAGAGGAGAATGGTTGTGAGAACTGTGGCGAAGGGGAAATGAGAAAAAATAAAAAATAAAAAATAAAAATAATAAAAGAGAAAAAAATAAATAAATTAGGAAATAAACAGCCAAATGGGTTTGTTTGTGTCTTTTGTTTATCTGTGCTTCTTCTTCTTGTTTCTCTTATACTCGCTCTCGCGGGAGAGTGTAGTTACGACCCATTACGTGGCGCCTTGTGAATGGTGGTACTATCGTGCCTAAGCCCCTTGCACTAATTTTCATGATACTCTGTTCCGGGTTTCCTTACTAAGTCGTAGCCGTTTCCGCTCGTTAAGACGAAAATGCCCCACTTTATTGGTCAACGTTCTCAACTTTCATTTTCATTTTCAAATTTCTCTCAAAAATAGGAAGATATTAAATTTGAAATAATATATATCTGAGTTGTTAAATAATTTTATGCATCAGTCTTTTATATATAAACACAAATTATTAGATATATGAGTTGTTAAAATAATTAGTATAAAATTATTAAAATTATATAAATAAAAAACTTATTAATTTTTTTAGAATATTTTTAATAGGACTAGTTTACTAAAATTTCTTATAGATAAATTAATTACTTGAATATGATTTTCATATTTATTATATAAGTAATTTTATTTAATTTTAAGTTATGTATATAAAATCTACTTGTAAATAGTGCTTTTATTAATAAACAACTTTCTTTAAAATATATCAAAATATTTTTCATGAAATTTAATTTAATATAAAGTTTACATTATGAATTACTTTAAACTCTTAATTTTTAAGTCATATTTATATTAAAAAAATTTATGTTTGTAAGTAATATTATTTTGAACATTTTAAACTTTTTTTTATTTAAATAATCTATAAATACAAATCATATTAAATAATATTTTTCTATAAATAATTTTTATGAAAAATACTTTGATGGCTAAATATCAATAAATAAAGTATATCTTTATTAAATAGTACTTTTATAACAAAATTAGTACTTATAATTAATTTAATCATACCATAAACATTTATTAAAATTTTCGCTATGTTATGTTTATAGGTCTTTTAATGTATTTCTTTATTAATCATATTTATAATTAAAATTGTAATATCATAAATGGAGTTAATTAAATAAAAAGTTATCTTTAACACATTTTATTTATATCTTTCAAAAAATTCAACTGTTATTAAAAATGTCTTTAAAAGAATATTTAATTATTGTTAAAAAATCTGTTTATATATATATATATATATATATATATATATATATATATATATATATTTTCAAGGGATATTTAAAAGAGCACGTTTATTTATATTTATAAGGATTTATATACAAGTAGATCGTAAATGTGCTTTTAAATCATTATTATAAAAGTAAAAACTCTTATATTAATGATTAAAAGTTAATTGTAATTGTTTCTCTATATTTTACTAAATTTTAAATTTTAATTTATAGTATAATTTATATAATTTATTTTTAAAATTTTAATTGTTCATAATTTTGATCTCTAAACTTTTTGTTATGCACGTTTATCTCTTATTATTTAAGTATTATTAATTATTTTATTTATTTCTTAGTTTAATTATTCGTATTTTATTGTTATTTTGAAGATGGCAAATCGAGAAAAAAAAATTAGATGAAGAAAAAAAACACATAAACTCGTTACTTTCTTAAAGAATTGAAAAGGATAGTAATTATAAAAATTTGTTGGCAAATGTAATTTAACCGTTATTGGAAATATTTTTAAAATTTGACCTAAAATTATAAATAATTAAAATTTAAGTGATTAAAATTGCAAAAAAATAATAATTTTATTATTAATATTAAGGAACTAAAATTATAAAAAAATCCCAAAAATTTCAGATTTTATAAAATATAAGACAAATTTATAATTAAACCAAAATAAAAATAAATTTTTCATTATAAAATAATATGAATCATAAGGGGTGATTTAGGATCTTTAGAGTTAGAACCTTGTAAGAAATTTAGGAATTTAATGATAAGGTGGAAGGAAATAATCATTTTTTCCAAAGAAGGCAACTTACAAAGGATGTAAAAGTTCTTTTATACAACCAAGGGTTCTTGAATCACTCAAGAATTTAGGAGAATCACTCTCACTAAGATAAAAGAGATAAACTTAAATAGTTCTGAATAAAATTCAACTTGTTATTTTTGATAAAAATGGTTCAACCTATATAGAAATTTTGCCATCAGATTTACAAAGATTTAATCAAGGAAAATAAATGCTAATAATGATTCATTAACCTAGGAATTGAAAATTACTCAATGATTGATTGTAACTGAAATTGTGGCATCCAAAATTCAATCAGCTATACACCCTATTGGTCTCCCAAAGACTAATAACTAAATTTCCAATTGGGCTCTTATTACAACTTGTAATAAAATCAAACTAAAGTCCATTAATTGATTAATCCAAAACAGGATTTGGTCAACCAACAATACTTGTTGAAGAGCTTCATTTGCTTCCCTTGCTCTAACTCTTATCATAGGTCATGTTCACATCATTCTCTCCCTCTTGAAAAAGATTTTTCCTCAAAATCAGATTCATCATCTACATTGAAAAGAGATAAGTCTGACAAATTAAATGTAGAACAAACATTATATTTATTTTTTATGGTTAAATAGCTCTCTCTCACTTCAAGTGTTTCACTCTTCTTTTGATCACTCTTTTTCTTCTCAAGTGTTTTACTAACGCTTTTTTTTTTCTCTTTTCTTGAAGAAATTTTTCTCATTTTCTTTTTATCCTTACACACTTCTTGTGGACTCAAACGTTTGAGCACAATCTTTTTGTCTTGGTGCATGAAAGAGATCTTGTTGGTGAACCCGTCATGATTGACTCTTTTATCAAATTGTCATGGTCTCCCCAAAAGTAAGTGACCAACCTCCATAGGAACAACATCACAAAGTACCTTATCATTGTATTTTTTAATGAAAATGTTCACTTCAACTTGCTTCCTCACTTGCACCTCTCCATCCTTACTAAGTCATTGAAGTTTATAAGACCTAGGATGTGGTTTAGTAGGTAAGTTTAGTTTTGACATTAATCTACCACTAGCTACATTGGTGCAAATACCTTCATCTATGATCATCATGCACACCTTGTCATTGATTAAACATCTAGTGTAGAAAATGTTTTTTCTTTGGCTTTCTTCCATAGGCTTCAAATGTCCATCAAGTAATCGCATATTCATTAATAAATCTCCTTTTGGAATCTTTTCCTCCTCTATGTCCTCGCTCTCCTCTCCCTCTTCAACCTCAAATTCACTTATATATTTTCCCTCTCTAAGAACCATAAACCTTTTGTTAGTGCACTCATAAGCATAGTATCCTAAACCTTGACATTTGAAACACTTCACATCTTTACTTATTTTAGGGGATTGTTCTTCAGACTTTGAAGGAGTCTTTGTAGAAATAGGTGTAAAACTACTAGAAGTAACAACCCCATCTTTCTTGCCTTTGTCCTTCCAACTTTAATATCCAAAGTTGGTAGAACTCTTCTCAGCCACTTCTTTTCTTTTGAGTTGTTACTCCACTCTAATTTCTTTATGAAGTAATTCTACCATATCAACAAACTCCTGCAACTCAACAATATCACATATATCAATATTCAAACCACCAATAAATCGGGTCATAGTTATCTCTTCATCTTCTTCAATCTTTGCTTGAATCATGAGTATGTCCATTTCCTTGAAATATTCCTCAACCCCCTTGTTGCCTTGAGTAAGTTTTTGGAGTTTAAATTTTAAGTCCCTTGAATAACTAGTCGGCACATACCGCTTCCTCATGATCTTTTTCATCTCAGTTCATGTATCAACCATTGGCTCTTCATTTCTACCTCTCTCCTTTTGTAACTTGTTCCACCAAACAAGAGCATAGTCAGAAAATTTTGTTGTTACAAGCCTCACCTTTTGAGTCTTCTCATAATTGTTGCATGATAAAACATGCTCTATTTTCATCTCTCACTTCAAGTATGCCTCCGGATCACTTTTTCCTTTGAACGGAGGAATGCTAAGCTTGACTTCCTTCAAGCCTACTTGGTCTTGCTACTCCACCATTCCTTCTCCTATTTCTCCTTTCTTCTTCATCTTCGGGATCTATTTTCCAACCGGTTCAATCTTTCATGGAGCTCATTTTTATGTCGCATCATTAATCCTTCTAAATATTGTATCAATGCTCTCATTTGAAATGGACTAATTCATACTTCTTGATTGTAATTTTCCTCTTCTGCCATCAATTTGATGTTTAAACCCTTAAACCGGGGTTCTGATACCAACTGATATGAATCACAAAGGGTGATTTAGGATATTTAGAGTTAGAACCTTGTAAGAAATTTAGGAATTTAGTGATAAGATGGAAGGAAAGAATCACTCTTTCCAAGGAAGGCAACTCACAAAGGATGTAAAAGTCCTTTGATACAACTAAGAGTTCTTGAATCACTCAAGAATTTAGGAGAATCACTCTCACTAAGATAAAAGAGATAAACTCTAATAGTTCTGAATAAAATTGAACTTGTTATTTTTTATAAAAATGGTTCAACCTATATAGAAGTTTTGTCATTAGAATTACAAAGATTTAATCAAGGAAAATAAATGCTAATAATGATTCATTAACCTAGGAATTGAAAACTACTTAATGATTGATTGTAACTGAAATTGTGGCATCTAAAAGTCAATCAGTTATACACCCTCTTGGTCTCCTAAAGACTGATAACTAAATTTCCAATTGGGCCCTTATTACAACTTGCAATAAAACCAAACTAAAGTCCATTAATTAATTAATCCAAAACACAATTTGGTCAACCAACAATATTTGCTGAAGGGCTTCCTTTACTTCCCTTGCTCTAGCCCTTATTATAGGTCATGTTCACATCATAAAACATGAAAAGTATTGAT